CCCGTCTGGGGGAACAGATCTCCGATCCGGCGCTAGTTTGCGCTGCCGTGCGTGTAGATTCCAGTGCCCCTCGAAAGAGCCTATTTGCGAGGCAGTTGCTGGCCACAAGAGGCCTGAAGGATGACGAGGAAACAGAGTCGACTTCTTCGCCAACCCCTCAGTCAACGGCAGAGGCCAAAGGCTCTTACTTGGGTGAGTTTTTTTGAGATGCTCTATGTTGAGGATTGGCATCCAAAATTTTCAGCAAAAATGGCTCCATTCACGGAGAGCAAGGGATAAGGCAAAGTAAATGGTCGTAGAATACTCAAAGTTTAAAGGTTTGCACCATGTCAACATCTGTTATTGCGACAGATGGGCTTTCAACTTCTGAATTTCCGTTTCTCCCCACATGAGGTAGTCAGCTGATATGCTGATGTACGGAATGAGATATATGGCGGAAGCTTCTGCGCATAGTATGGCAAGACTTCGCAGTCATTAGTTCATAGTGGAGGGAACGAGCACCCCACTAAGGATGCGATCAGCAAATTGCTTGACCGTTTTAAAGTGTCGCTGTATTATCAGGCCGGCTTAAAAACCCAGAAAATACCGGCAGCTGAAGAGAGCATTCGGAGGATACGTTTAAAAATGACCAGTTTTTTTAAAAGTAAAACTGGAAAAATAACTTGAGAGCAGTAAAGAATGAGGGGGAGAATGCAGGCATCTATACATTGCCAGATTAGGGCTTCTGGTGTGTGATATGAACGCAAACGACGGATATAATATAAAAGTTTACGGATTTTAATAATGAAGCTTTCAAGATGAAGAGTAAATGAGAGGTTAGATGCCAGAGTGACACCACGGTACCGGAAAAAGGATACCTCATTTGGCAGAAAGTCTAGGGATTCAGGACTGGGAGAGGATTGCAATCGGAAAGCGTATCTAAGATGTTTCTGGTGCTACAGAAGTGCCCTTTAGCTTTGTGCATTTTTCCTCAGGACTATGTAATTCTGGACACTGATCCTGGATACAATTTTACGTGTCTTTGAATTTACAGGTTAAAACAGGGCCATGTCCTGTAAGGATGAACATAATAACCAGCGTCACCCCCCGCCACTACTTTCACCTACACTTGCCTTTTACATGTATAACCCCCTTTCAGCCGATCCTTCACTTCGGAGGCTAGCGGAAGCTGGACCACGAGCAATATCTGGAACCGGCCTGGGCTCCCTGGCCCAGGACGTATTTCGTATTCATGAGACCAATATGGATCTGCTGGCACACCTCTCACCCGAGGAGATCCTCAAGGAACGAGAAGAGATTCTGGCATCAGCAGGCAAGTCTGCTAGACTACTTTCTGGAAGCCGGGAAACGAGGCAGTTTTTTATTATATAGCTTTGATTTGAAGATGTCCGCCGTCCGCTCCATAACAGGACGGTACAGGGACAGCGACTTGCACGTGAATTAGTTTTAAGTGATAATAGACTTTCGTAGCATCTTCACATCTAGTCGTACCTTCTACCATTTAGCTAGGAGCCCGTTATCCGGTCCGTTGTCATCGAGAGTATTCACTATCGCAAGATGGGTGTTCACTGATCCAATTACAGGATATGCTCGCTCCGTTGCGCTCTGACCATAACCGACTGTCGCCTTCCCATCAGTATTGGTGCAGGAAGGAATACCAACGAAGAAAGGGAGACCGGGATGGTCATCTATAGAATCATAGCAGTCCCCAGCCAGCCAGGTGGCTGGCGTGGCTAACACTCCAATACGCGTACCAACAGCAAACTTTGCTAGGTAGGCTCCCGCGTGCTCCGGAACGCCATAAAGGCTACATTCAGAAGGAGCCATTGCAGTCTTACTCTCAGCCCGCAGTAAACCACTCCACACAAAAAGACACACACTGGGCTGTCTGCGGTATCCAAGTTATCTCGCCAGTTTGCAACCCTCCAAACCGCGGCTTTTAGCGCACCGTGATAGTTTCTAGCGCTGCAGATTGTTTATCGTGAGGAAGGAAATGTGCTGAGGATCAACCTCACCCCCCACCACCAGTAGCATGCCCCCGCCTAGCTCATCGGTCGCTTCAGGTGGGACTCCGACTTATTAACGACGACAAACGTAAGCATACATCCGGTCAAATTAAAACAGATCGGGGTATCGGAATATTGTTAATCACGTGGTGACCAATAATGATGCTGGATGGAGTACCAATGAAGGCAATGGAGACTGGAGTGACTCCTTCTGAGTTATTAGCCCTCGTAATCCAGCCATACCCAACCCCATTTCTGGCTAATCTGGGATTAAAACCCAGATTCGTTGGTCATTACACGTTTAGTCGTACTTTCTATTATGTAGCCACGAGCCCGTTGTCAGCAGCCGTCCTGAAAGATTTGCGCTCATGCAGCCCGGGCAAGACGCGCTCACCTCAGGCTATCGGTCCGCCCACGCACGCAAAGACCGCGCGCGCGCGTGCGGCTTTCAAGACGCCAAGGTCACAAGAGGCTTCAGATTGCCAATGGAGTCGCTACTCTCTCGAAGACAC